AATAGGAAAAGAAGTAATATTATCCCTATTTGCAGATGGTAGGATATTCCAAAAATTCCACAAAAAAACTTATAGAAATGATCAACAATTTCAACAAGGTAGCAAAATACAAAATAAACTTATAAAAATCAATAGCTTTTCCATGTGCCAACAACAATTAACTTGCTGAGAAAGATACTATAGAAACACTCCCATTCACAATAGTCTCAAAGACATTGAAATATCTAGGAATAAAACTAACTAAGGAGATAAAAGGTGTCTACAGTGAAAATTCTGAAACAATAGACTGAGAAAGACATTGGCGGAGACACTAGAGCATGACATCTCATGCTCATGGATTGGTAGAATTAATGCTGTGAAAATGATCATTCTATCCAAAGATATTAAAGATTCATTGACATCTGCATAAAAATTCCCATATCATTCCCCTAAAGAAATTGAAATTCATATGGAACCACAAAACAATCTGCTAGTCAAAGTAAACCTAAGGAAAACAAAGCAAAACAATAACAATAACAACAACAACAAAATGCTGGAGCAATTACCATCCTTGAGTTCAAAACACATTACAGAGCCATTGTACTAAAAACAGGATGTTACTGACACAAAAATAGACATATAGCTCAATGGAATAAAATAAAACCCAAACAATGAGTACACACAAACTACAGCCATCTGATATTTGACAAAGATGCCAGAAACACACACTGGAGTAAAGACAACATCTTCAAGAAATGATCATGGAAAAAATGAGAGTCTGCATGTAGAAGAATGACATAAGACTCATATCTACCATTTTGCATAAAAGCTAACTCCAAATGCATTCAAGACTTCAATGTGAAACCTGAAACAATGAAACTTCCGGGTGAATCCATGGGCAGTACACCACAGGATACAGGTGTAGGAAAGGGCTTCTCAAATAGAGGTCCAACGCCCAGGAAGCAAGGCCAACAATGACAAGCAGGACCTCATAAAGCCAAAAAGCTCCTGCCCAACTAAGGAAACATTTGAGTGAAGTGAAGGGCAGTCAGTGAGGGGGAATCTTTCCAGTAAAGATTTGACAGTGGATTAACAGCCAGCGAATACAAAAAACTCAGAAATTCAAAGAGATGAGTTCTCAGACGGAGATATAAAAATGGTTAAGAAATATTTTGGAAAATGTTCATGTTAGCAATTAGGGAAATGAAAATAGAAACAAATTTCAGATTTCATCTTACCCCAGTTAAAATGGCAAAGATCAACAAAACAGCTGGCCACAATGCTGGAGAAAATATGAACGGGAACCCTCATACTGATGGTGGAACTGTAAACTGCTGCGTCCAATCCAGAAAACAGCTAAACATAAGCCCAGCCCATGACCCAGCTATGCCACTGCTTGGCACATGCTCAAAGAATTTGACATTCTGCCCCATTGATACTTCTCAGCCGTGTTTGCTGCTATTAATAATAGTATGACATGGAAACATCCTAAATGTATTTTATCCAGAAAGGGATAATGAAGACGTGGAACACAAACACTATGGAATACCATTCAACTGAAAAAATGAAATCATGAAATTTGCAGGTAAATGGATAGACCTAGAAAATATTATATTGAGTGAGGTAACCCAGACTTCCAAAGACAAACATTGCATATTCTTTTTTTAAAATTAGAAACAAGATTGTTTTACATGTCAATCCCAGTTCCCCTCCCTCCTCTCCTCCCCTACGATCCCCCCAAATGAAACCCTACCTATCACATATCCTTTCTGCTCCCCAGGGAGGGCGAGACCTTCCACAGGGAGTCATCAGGGTCTATCATATCCTTTGGGATAGGGCCTAGGCCCACCCCCGTGTGTCTTGGAGTACATTGCATGTTCTTGCTCATCTGTTGCACAGCTCCCAAATTTCAGATGTGAGCATATAACCTAGAGTAACAACAGAAGCTAGGAAAGGGAAAAGGGACCATGAGAGGGTGTATACCTAAAATTATATACAATACACATGAGTGTGCAGACATGAGAAACCTCCTTTGTACTCATTGATAGGGGAGTCCAAGAGACTCCCCAGACAATATAGGCTATTACTGTTGTCCTTGGTTGCCTGACTGAGGGCGAACGTTAGCCTTTATTGCTGAAGACACCATGCACTTCATACACAGGACACAGAAGACTGGAGCTGAATCTGACCTCAAAGCCTCCTCCTTGGGGAATAGCATTCATAGTTTCAGAAGGTGCTATTCAAGCTGCCAAAGGAGGGAGGCAAGCAATAGTTATTCCCAGATGCAAAGTCTATGGATCATAATAATGACCAGCATACATGGTATCTCAATTGACACAATGGTGATACTCGCGTCTTGGTGGCAACCAGCAACTATCTAATTGGACGTAAGGCCCACTCAACAAAAGGGAAATCATGCCTGGTACTAGAAACCCAGCAGACTACTCAGGGCTAGTGAAGGTCATGAATCTCAGAGAACTTACCCCACCACTTTCCTAAACCAGCAAATCCCTAATTGCATTCTAATACTCATCCCTATACCCACAGATAAGCTCCCAGTCCATCATCAGAGAAGCTTCTCTTTGCAACACACAGATATCATTTCAGAGAACCACACGTCAAAGTGCAGAAAACAACTGATCATGGTGTAACCAGCCCCAAGAGACACACTACAGTTTAAGTTCTGCACTTCAGGCAGAGGAGACAGAAAAATGTATGAGACAGAGGACAAGAAAATACTGTGGGATCATGTCTCCTAGGAATGACAGGGAAGCTTCATCCATGAAGCCTCAACAACATGGTTGCTTAACAAGTTCTGAAGAAGTACAATAACAATAGACTAATATTGAAGGGGGGAGGAATTTCACAGGACCCTGCCTTGAGATACAGAGCTAAGAGATGTTGAGAATAGAAGTAGTATTCTTCCCCCAGGGAGGAGACCCCTAAGTGGTTCTCCAACACCAAGCAGTCATCTCAGAAATCATGTACTTGGTAACAGCACTGAATGAACTAAGCAGGAAATAGTAGTGTGTGTGTGTGTGTGTGTGTGTGTGTGTGTGTGTGTGTGTGTGTACAATAAAGAGGAGGCCAGGGAATTGAGAGTGAGTGTGGGAGGAATTGGAAGAAGGAAAGGAATGGAGGGAAATGATATAATTATATTGTGATAAAAATAAAATACTTGCAACTAAATAAAGAGTTCATCCTTTATATTTTATTTATTATTTTTTTTTTCTTTTTGGTTTTTTGAGACAGGTTTTCTCTGTGTAGCCCTGGCTGTCCTAGAACTCACTCTGTAGACCAAGCTGGCCTCTATGTGCTGCAATTAAAGGCATGTCCCATTATACCCTGCTAACCTTTATTCTTTAACAAGACTTTTCAGTGTATTTTCAATTGTTTTGGGAGCAACATCCAGTAAAATGAGGTCTGGTTGATTAGAACTAACCCCAAGATCCCAGCCTAGAGGGAAAAGCCTGTCCTCTAGGACTCTTACAACAGTTGGACATAGCAGGGGTAAAGTTAATGAACGCAGAAGGGAGGAATCAGGAAATGCCACCCTTATGTGCTGAGGCCCCTCCAGGTATTTATAGCCAGGACAAAGAAGCAGACAAACTAACACTTCCATAATTACAAGGCCTATGTGTTGGGAAAAAAGGCCCACAAAGCTAGCTGCTGTGCAGGGTGTAGAGATGGGGCTGCCTGACCCTCCTGCCTTCACTCACACGGCCTAGGAAGCTTGAGAAGGCTCTATTGACAAAATGACATTGGAGTTTGAAGTCCGGGTGGAAACAACTAGACATGGGCTTGGGGGCAAGAGTTCCCCAAGGTGCAGAGCTCTTAGAAGGAAGAAGCTGCATGGAAGGAACTGAAGCACGTGAGACTGAGTCCCATTTGGAGCTCCAAGGCAAACCAGAGCAGGACCAGGATGATCCTATAGGCCATACTGATGAGGTTTTTTTCTTCCCTGGAAAGCTGTTTCTTATAGAAACATATAAAGCAGAAGGCCAGGGTGATGGTGAAGGTGGAGATATGGAGAAGAGGACCCCTCCTAAGAGAAAAGACAAAAAGACAGACAAAGCTGTCAATGAGGTGAATAAAAGGAAGGATAAGATGGTATCTGGTTGCTGTGGGAGTCGGCTTTACCAATGATGACTTCTTTCTCCTGGTAACTCAAAGTTCTGAGTAATTGTCTTGTCAACTGCTGGCTTTCAGTGTGAGAAATAGGGAATGGCCAGTCACAGACCCACTTTGTAATCCTCAATGTTCTCAAAAACATGAGGTCATTTGAGAGTGGGTGGCCAGGCAGAGGAAGAAGCCAGTAGGCAAGGCTGGCCAAGAGGCAAGGGCACTGGAAAGATTGCTGCAGGCAGGTATACAGCACGTTTCCCCTGTGCTATAGCCCTTTGAGCGTGCACATCTTGTCACTGTTAGCTTCTCTTCACATCAGGTTGCCGCAAGTCTTCAATTTGAACAGACCGTGATACAGCGCAATATAATAAAACACACCTGCTTCTCCCGAAATGGAGCCAGGAGAGACAAGGCAATGGGAGAGCAGACATGGGTCAAGGGGAAAGACTCTGGGGACCAGTGACCCAGGAAAATGTGGGGATACGGATGCTGTGAAGGAACATAGCCCACCCAGTCCTAGCCTCTCAGTGGACCACGGCGAGAATTACGTCTATCTTTTTTATTATAAACGTGATGCTAGTGGAGATCTGGGAGGAGTCAGGAGCGAAAAACAAAGCTGTGCCTGCAGACACAGCTGCTAGCCAGGTGGAAACTGTCCTCTTTTTCTCCCAATGCATTTTTAATAGTACCATCGGAATTGTAACCCAAATACGAAGTTATGTTTTGCTTTTAACATTGAGATGGCAAAAAGCAAAACAACAACAACAACAAAACCCTATTTCAACCTCTTTCTTTTGTGTACAGGAAAGACCTTTGAAAAAAGTTGCTTGGGTGGCGTTACTGATTACAACACTCAACCACCAGGGGGCTGACTAATTTCCCACTGCCAGTACTTTCGCATTTGGCGGGCACTGCGCCAAAAGCTGGATAACCTTTGTACTCGGGCATTAAAAGTGCAGAAGTCCGAGCCTCCGGCTGTGTAGCGGTTCTCCCGCCATGCGGTACCTAACGTGCCTGTTGCTTTGGGTGCTCCAGCTAGTCTGGGGGCAATGGGAAGGTGAGTAGAAGTGCTCTCACAAGGGGCTGGAGAAGGAGGAAGAGAGTGCCTGGCTAGTAAGCTCTGGAATTGTGGGCGGGCGGAGGTGGGACTCTGGCCTTCTTGGGGCACACAGTGCACCAAGTGGGAGGAACCATGAGTGCACCAGGCTCAGAGCAGTTCTGAACCTTAGCCTGCATCTCCCTTTCGCAAGCCCAACTAAGGCTGTTCTAATTGTCTGCGGCCTTGGTCACTGGCTGTGCTCATTCGGTTTTCATTGTTTCCAGACCAGCTAAAGAATTACCCATTGCGCTGCCTGCAGATCTCTTCCTTCCCAAACAGTAGCAGCTTTCGCACAGATGGCTTGGCCTGGCTGGGGGATGTGCAAACGCACAGTTGGAGAAATGCCTCTACCGTTAGCTTCCTGAAGCCTTGGTCCCACGGCAAGCTCAGTGACCAACAGTGGCAGACGTTGGAGCATATATTACAAGTTTATCGAACCAGCTTTACCAGGGACATACAGGAATTAGTCAAAATGTTGCCTATCATTCACTGTGAGTAGAGGGATCGCACCCGAACAGGTACCCAGTGGGTGAGAGAGGCCCCAAACCCCAACTGGGTAACTGTGGGCCTTCTTGATGAGATTCTCTTCTTTCTCAACCCGTATGACTTTCACTTCTGTCTAGAGAGATCCTTGTCTTTTCTGAAAATAGTCCCTGTTTCCGCTCCAGAACACCCTCGATTGTTTCCCTGATCTGGGACATAACTATTGTCTTCACATCAATTTCTTCCCCTTTCTTCCAAACTTCTTAATCATTTTTATATTCACCCCTTCCTCTTTACAGATCCCATTGAGATGCAGGTGTCTGCTGGGTGTGAATTGCACTCTGGAAACACTTCAGAAAACTTTGCCAATGTAGCATTTCAAGGACAACATGTCATGAGTTTTCAGGGAACTTCCTTTCAGAAGGCCCCAGATGCCCCACCTTGGACAGAGTTGGCCATTAAAGTGCTCAACACTGATCAAGGGACCAGGGAAACGATCCAGCAGCTTCTGAATGACACCTGCCCCCAGGTTCTCTATGGCCTCCTAGAAGCTGGGAAAGCAGAACTGGACAAGCAAGGTCAGCCTTCTCTCCACCCCCGTGTTCTCCACACGGGTTACTTTTGTGTTCTCTCATCACTGCAGGCTTTAGAGAAAGGGCAAGGCCTGGCAGAGGTAAAGAAGGCATGTGGAGTTTGTTCTTTTCACTGAGCATCACTCTTGGATTCTATGAATTGAGTTAAATAAACACTGGGGCCTAGAAGTGAGTCAGGCAGTGTTTGAGACACACTCTATCAGCTGAGAGTGTTCTGGAGTACAGAGGAGAGCCGTTCACAGGATATATGCCTCAGGGAAGGGGTACAAGTATCAGGGATGGTTCCTAGTCACAGTGATACAAATGGATTTAAACTAACAGGCAGCATCATCCCCAGCCATGGACCTGTGGGAAGCATGAACTTGATAGGCCTGGAGCCTCTAATGTCAATGTTCCTGTTTTAAGGTCATTTTTTTCTTATTTTCTTGCTGGATACAGAGAAACCTGTGGCCTGGTTGTCAAGTGTCCTCAGCCCTAGACATGGCCATTTGCAGTTGGTGTGCCATGTCTCCGGCTTCTACCCACAGCCTGTGTGGGTGATGTGGACTCAGGGTGAGCAGGAGCAAAACAGTACTCAGAGAGGTGACATCCTTCCCAATGCTGATGGGACATGGTATCTCCGAGCTACCCTGGATGTGGAGGCTGGAGAGGAGGCTGGCCTCGCCTGCCGGGTGAAACACAGCAGTCTAGGAGGGCAGGACATCATCCTCTATTGGGGTAAGAGAAAAACTTGGCCTGGGTTGAGAGCGAGTAGAGGTACCATTCAAACATGGAGTAGAGTTGAACAAACCCAATTTCAGAGATGAAACCCCTAACTATTATAGGAAAGATAGGAGGAGGGTATTCAAGATACAGAAAGAAATCCCCCCAATTGAGGTAGAATGTTCTGTATATAGGAAGAAAGGAGACCCCAAAATTCAAAAGGTCCAGAGGTAAATGGCAAGGAAATGCAGAAAGATCCAGTACCCAGGACCCAGAGCCTGAGACAAAACTGCAGTATATGGAGTGCCTCCTATGTGAGCATTGGCCTATCTGCTGCCAGTGTGTCCTTCATTTCATGACTTTGCTTTAAGCAAGTACTGCTATTCTGACTTTATACATGAAGAGGTCGATGGGAAGACAGGATAACCACCCAGAGTCACACAGAAAGATGAAGAGCAGAGAGTAGACAGATTCACATCTATCTAAACAGCATGCAGCCAGATCCTGACAAAAGATGCTCAGTTTAAACTCCTGAGGAATAAAAGATTGTAGTTTAAATGAAGGAAGAAATAGTGGCATGGCTTCCTCACATGTGCTTAGAATAGGGAACTTGGAATAAGGATGGGTTCTAGTTTAGAGATACCTTGTATTCTTCCAAAGCAGATGGCAGACATTCTTCATATGTGGTTTTCATCATCCTGGCAGTCCTAATACTTGTGGTAGGCCTTGGGCTCGGTTTTGTGTTCATCTCCAGGAATCGGTGGTAAGTGTCCCTTCCATGTGTTTCTGTCCTCAGCATCTCTCCTCTGTTCCCTCCTTTTCTTTCCTAATGGCCTCTCTCTCCTCACAGCTCCTATCGAAGCATCCGGTAGCTCCTCCTCACTATTGCCTCTCCTGAGACTCAGACCTTCCAGCTTCTAGGACTTCAGTCCTGGTCTGCTCAGGAAGAAGTGAAGAACAAATGAAGTACCCTTTCAACATTTATTTAAAAGAAACTAATTCAGTTTAATTATATTGCACTTTTATGAGCCTGAGGGGGTTGGAACAAACATGATTGCAGATGCACATACCGCCAAGAACAAGCTGTGGGCAGTATTTTATGGGATTTGCATTGAACTGGAAAGCACAGGTCCTGCCCAAACAGATGCTTCAGGGTCTGTTGACAAGTGTAAAGTCCAACATGGCTCAACTCTTCGGTTTTCAAGAAAACTAGGTGACATGCAGATTTTAAAAAGTAAACTCAAATATTTGCAAATATTGGCACTGCTTGATATCTCAGATCCACGCCTGCTGGAGATGGATATAAAGACAACCCCAGGGCTTCCAGTTTGTGGCTCTTTAAAAAAATGTTTGTCCTAAATGCCATAATGATAATTTTAGGACATAGTCTCTATGGTAAATATGCATTTATGACTGAAGGGTTTATTCTCTTTATAATAAAATTAGGAGGTCTCCTGAGGTTTTATTTGGAGTAACTATATTTTTAAAAAGGAGAAGTCACCGTATATAATTATTTTGTTGAAAAATCTACTCTCTTTGAGATATTGCCCTCAAACACTGCTATAATTTGCATCTGGAGTGCACCACAACACCCCATGTATTGAGGGTCTGGTTCCCAGCCCATGGCTCTATCAAGAAATAGTAGTTACATTAGCAGATGAAGCCCAGTAGAAAAGAAGGTGACATAATGGGTTCATAAGGTCATAATGATTGTGGGACACAAAGTCCTTTTTGCAATAATGCAATTCATGGACTTAGAAGGAAATTCAAGGATTTTTTTTTTGTCTGAGAAAGAAAACAGTAGGGCAGGCAAGCTGGAAGTGTGGGCAGCTGCCAGGAGGTGGAAATGGAGGGAGAGGTTATGTCTTAAAGAGCATCAGCAAAAACAAACACTTTGAATGACTGAGTAAACACACCAGTCCTCCAATCTGGGCATTTGTACCTCAAGGTTTTTACTGAAAGAGCATAATATCTCTGACCTCTGGGGGGGGGACAAGGGTGGTAAAAGCAAGAGCAGCATTTTACCATTTTGGGTTATCAGGGAGGAAATATTTAATATTATTTGGTTTAACCTTGTACTATACTAAGCACTTCTCAGGGTGACCTAGACCTCAGGCTGTGTATAAGATAGGAAAGAAGGAAGAATAGCCGCAGCAAATGTCTGTTTTGTTTTCTTTGAAGCTATTTGAAACCCCTCACATGGGTTTGTCTTTAAATGGAGATGAATTACAAGTGGCTTGTGAAGAGTTATTACTTCCTAAAGGGTCAGTGTTGGATTACAATCAGTTTAGCTATGGAAGCCCAAAACTTGGAAATAAATTAGAACAACTGGGCAATTTTCCATTACAGTGTTTTAAATTGTCTTATTTTAAAACTCTGTATTATCCTGTTTACCACAGCACTTCTAATTATTGACAATATCATCTGTTTTAGAGGCAGTCGAAATGCCCATGTTTCTATGTCTCGAGTGATATGTGAGAAGTAGATGGCTATAGAGGGAACGTCCACTCTGTCTCTTCAGGTGGTGCACCCTCTATTGGTGTTTGTGGGGAAATAAGGGAGCCCTTGCTCTCTGCTCTCTCTTTGCTTCCTGGTTGCCATGATGTGTTAGTAACTTTGCCCCCCTACACTCCCCTCACCCTTTTGCCTCTCAACAGCAAAAAAGATAGGGTCAAAGTTACCACTCGAACCCCATGAAACTGTGAATCAAACCTTCTGTCTCTAAGCTACTTTTTCCAGAGATTTCTGTCACAGTGATGAAAATATGACTGACATAAATTGTCACAATTTTAGTTTGGAAGATGGTAGTATTAAAGGTATTATCTACCAAAACAACAACAAAAATGTTGTATCTCCTTATAGATGCTTAAAAAGAAATACAGGGTAGTGTGTTACTACAAAGCAAGGACGTCTGCATTACAGAACTTAGATGTTGTAGGATGTCATTTCCTAGGTTAGGTTTGGTGGAAACTGGGGGTATGTTTATATAACACAAACAATATACCAATAGTCTATATGATGTTAGTTCACACTCAGAGGTAGGTAATAACTTGCCACTGATGGAACTAAAGGTAACCCGAGGTAACCTGGCTCCCACCTTGTAGCAGTCCACCTCTCTAAATCACAGAAGGTTTTTATTAGTCAACCAACCTTATAGAATTTTTAACATAGGTACAGGTTTTTGTTTCCTTCTGTCAACTTCAGCATATTAATCCAATGATGGGGATGTTCTTCAGTATATTGTTTCTCTTATTAGTTAATGAATACAACATGATTTGGCCAATAGGCAGGCAGAAAGCATAGGCAGGACTACCAGACCAGGAGAAGGCTGGGGAAATGAAGAGAGAAAGCCTCAAAGTGACATGTAGAAACTGGGAAGATGGGACGAGCCAGGCATTCTCTGGTAACATAAGGCCACGTAGAAATACACAGATTAGTAGTTATGGGTTAATAATTAAGAGAGAGCTAGCCATCAGTAAGAATCCCTAGCCATCAGCCAACACTTTATAAATTAATATAAGTCTTTGTGTGTTTATTTGGGGCTAATGAGTTGCAGGACCAGGCTGGAAAGAAACTACAACAGCAATCCAATGTATGAATAGTGTGTCCACTGTTGTGAACTCTTCTAGCACAAGCAACTCAATTAAAGTCATCACATTGTTAGGTGTTTTCACTGTGTCATCCTAAAGAGATGCAGCAGGAGCCAAGTGCACTTTGATACTGTGAAATGCAACAGAGGTGCTGGAGGCTGCCCTCTAGAGCACTGCTTCACATGACTCCAGATGGTCTGCATTCTTGTGAAATGTTCTTTGTAACTCTTCCTAGGTCCCTGTTGTACTGGATGGCAAACTACAATATGGTATAATACTAAGACCATCTAGGCCGTTGGGATTTCATGACCCTCTTAAGGTGAAAATCAGCACTGGAAGGGCTAGACCATGGCATTGCTGTATATCCTGTGCGAATGTCTGCAGGTTTCTACTGAAGTTCCCCTGATGACACTGCCTGAGGCCTGCAGGGTTGCTTTCAGGTCATCTATTGGCTGCATCCAGCTCTGACTAGGATAAAGCAGTAAACTTCTCTACAATTCCAGAAACCTACCAGTAGCTTTCCCAATGAAGTCTTGAGCCCAGGCTTAGGAGAGAGTTCATCCTTCAGAATTGCTCTTCATTGAATTTTCTCCTTCAGCAATAGAGATTCACATGGAGTTTCCTATTAGTAATATGTATTTACTTACTATGGTTTAAGCATTCTCTTAAACTTCCTCTATTTAACTCACAGGACCTTTTTTTTCTACTGTGCTCTATCTATATAGACACAGACTTGGTTGCCTACCTAAATCTGTGAATCTTCAAAACTCAGCAGTAATGGGATTGGGATTAGAAAGAAATGAGGAGAGGAGGAATGTGATCACCATATGCTGTAATATAAGTTAAAAACTGCCAGAAGTTTCTATTCTGCTCTAGAAAAATACGTGGACTGGGTCAACGTTTCTAGCCACAGGAAGTTTTAATAACCAAGTTTGAACAAATGGAGCAAAGTAGGAAAAGATAAACTAGCAGAAAGTTGGTCTGATTCAGTCTCATTTCTCATCTGTTGTCCCAGCTTGAGTACTGACAGTTACTGGTGACCTCCTTCTCCCTGGTAGCTCGACTCCTGCCTCCATGTCTTGTGTCATGGCACTTGTGTGTTCTTAACTGTGACAGGCATGGTATCAACCAAAGACAACACTATATGGTATTCTTCTCCAGTCTCTGAGTCTCTCAGTCTTTCTGCTCCCTGTATTACCATGTCCCCTGAGCCTCAGAGTGGATGGTATAGATAGATGCCACTTAGGACCAAGCACTATGCAGTCCATTATTCTCCATATTTGCTCAAGTTATAACCCCCTGCTTTGATCATCACTCACTGCCATGAGATTTTTTCTGAATAAGGCTGAGAGCTGCACTAGACCATATGTATAACATAAGAATCCAGAAGGCAGTGTAACTATATGTTCCTCTAGCAAACATCAGTAGTAAATTTTTTTCATATGGTTTATGACCTCTCTAGCCACCAGTGATTAACAGGTTTACAGTATTAGGATCTACATTCTCTGTCATGGAATGGGCCTCAGATCAAACCAGGATGCAATTTGTTATGTCTAGCACAGTTGTGGCATTATTCTACCCATGTGCATATTTTGTTTAGCATGTCAGTATTGTAGACTCAGGGTCCAACACTGCATTAAGACACTTACTATCTGAGCAGGTTGCATAGCACCTTCTAGACTATGCATACCCAGGACAGAAGACTCCAGCTCAGTTTCATCTTGTTTTCTGTGTTCTGTATCCAAAGGGTGTGTTGTCTTCAGTAATAGGATCTTACTGCCTACTTCTGGTAAGAAGCAAAGAGAAGTGATAATGCCCTGTATTGTTTTGGGGGCAGGAGCTCCATAGCTAACAAGTCATTGAGAGGTGTTCTACGACTGGTGCTAAGACTTTGTTTGGATTAATAAACTCTGAATTCAACATTACCTACTCATTCCGGGAAAAGCTATTCAAGCCACTTTCTGTTAGGTTTTATATATTTTCCCAGTGGCTCTCCTGGTTAGCTTTAATATTCAGCTTGGCATAGCCCAGAGTCACTGATTAGTCGGGGTTCTCTAAAGTAATAGAACTGATAGGATGAAAACTGAAGGGGTTCTATGAGAGTAGCTTACGGGCTGTGTCTGGGTAAGCCAACAATGGCTGTCACCTGACAGAAAGCCCAAGAATCTGGTAGTCTTTCAGTCTACAAGAGTGGATGTCTCAGCAGTTCTAGTATGATTGCTGGAGTCCTACAGGATGCCTGGAGAACTGCTGGTTTTTAATCTAGGTTGGAATCCCCCAAAAGTAGGTTCTAATATGAGCAAAAGGATGTCTCAGAAACAGGATGGGTGAATTTGCCAGTGATAGTAGGGACAAGCAGACACTGCCCATGTTTACAGTGGGTTTTCCTAAGAAAGCTAGCTAAGTTTAAGACAGAGCAAGTCAGTGAGAAGCACTCCTCCATGGTTTCTGCTTCAAGATGCTGCTTGAGGTCCTGCCCTGATGCAATGAACTGTAATATTTAAAACAAAATAGACTCTTTCCTTCTCCTAAGTCGATTTTGGTCGGGGCATTTTCTTACAGCAACAGAAAGAAAATGAGAACAGCATCTTTTTCTATATGTTTGGTTTTGGTTGATCTACCCCTCTCATCTTGCTTCACTTGCCCCAGACGCCTGTAAACATTTCCCCACTTCTGTTTTCATATTCCATGTGTCTTACCATCCCTCCCTCAGAACTGTTTCCCTATCATTTCTCAAGTTCCTTTATTGCTGCTTGGCCTCTACTGACACTTACTCCACTTAAACATTGTAATCTGAGTATTTATTCTTAGATTTACATAACACATGTTCTTTATCACATAAATGATTCACCAACACTTTTTACAAATTTTAGCTTCTCTTTTTCATTCTTTGAACAGTGACTTTGGAAAAGCAAAGTATTTTAATTTTTTTTAAAGTTGTGCTTTTGATGTCATGACTATCCAGTTTATAAACATACTTTTATATTTTTATAAAATTATTATAAAAATTATAAAAATAATATATTTTAAGTTTTAGCTCTTAGATGTAATTCTATAATCAACTATGTAGTAACTTTTTATAGGTCTATAAGTTATTTTTTAACGAGAGGCTGTCTTAGGGTTTTATTACTGTGAAGAAACACTGTGACCATGACAACTGTTAGAAAGGAAAACATTTGATTGGGTTAGCTTCCTTCCAGAGGTTCAGTCCATTATCAAGATGGACATGGCAGCATACAGATAGACATGGTGCTAGAGAAGAAGCTGAGTATTCTACACTTTGAACCAAAGGCAACAGGAAGTGAACTGTCTCACTGGGTATAACTCCAGCAAAGACCACAAAGCCCATGCCCACTGTGACACACTTCCTCCAACAAGGCCATACCTCCTAACCTTGCCACTCCCACAACCATTTTCTTTCAAACCACCACAGAGACTTTCTTGTCTTTTTTTCCTTTCATTTTTGAATTAGATGTGTGTGTGTGTGTGTGTGTGTGTGTGTGTGTGTGTTTGTGTCTGTGTGCACCTGCATGCCCTACAAGACCCTTGCAGAGGTCAAAAGATAACCTGATGGAGTAGGTTCATGCTTTCTACTATATGGGTCCTACATGTCAGACTCTAATTATGGTTGGATGGCAGGTTCCTGTATGTACCTAATGAATTCTTTTGCTGGTCCAGATTAACTGGATTTTTATGGTGAACATCCATTTGCTTCAGCATCATTTATTGGTGACAACACAATAACGGAAGAGAGAG